GAATGTAATACCCAAAAATTTAAAAGGACAGTCCTGGCATTTATTCAATTGTTTAATCCTTTATTTAATTGTTTAATTACGTGTTATTTTATTTAATTGATTATTTAAATTGTGTGTTTCTTCCATGGTTATTTAAATTTGATTTTGTTTTAATTAAATTGTTTTGTGTTCTTTTGTTAAATTGTTTTAAATTAAATTGTTTTATGATGTTTTATTTGACTTAATTGATAATTGGTTTTATTTAATTAAATTGGTTTAAATTAGGATTGTGTTTTCTGTATATTCACGTATTAGCCAACATAGGTTATAATTTAGGTTATTCTTGGGCCGACTAAGTGTTGCATTGGGGCTCAAATTATACAAGGATTAGGGTTGGATTACTACGCCTATAAATATGACCTTATGTGGGTTTAGAGTTGGAGAAAAAATACATAAAAGTCTATTCCCGTATACAGTGATACATAGAGTTGTGAGAGCAGAGAAACAGAGAGGGAACTTGAGTATTATACGGAGAGGTTCAAGGAAGGTTGGACGGGGTGTTTCTGGGTTGAGCCAAGAGCGTTAGAGGAGTAGGACAGTAGTTGACGACGTTAACGGATAATTTAGAGACAGAGGTTTAGAGTTTCAAAGTCTGAAACTCAAGGCAAGTCTCTGTTCCACTCTATCTCTTTAATATGTGTTCTATACATGTTTAGAAAGACTCCAGGGATTAAAACCAACATTAAAATGGATTAAATAAATGTTTAAATTCATCTTGTATGCAGGTTTAAATTGTAATAAATTTTCGTGAATCAAACTGGTGCAAGTTCTTATAGTTTCTGTGATTTGAAGCATGTTGTTCTTGAGTTTGAGCTTGGTTTAATTGGGATTATGTTGCATATCGGGGGTTTTTAAACAATCTGGTACATTAAATAAACACCAGAATAGGAGTTTAACATACCACAGAGGCTCTGAACTTCGCCGAAGGCGAAGAAGACAATCGAAAAAGGGGATTACGGCTCTCAGAAAAGGAGAGCAGGCTCACCAAATGAAGGAGCCGGCTCTAGGGCTTGAGGAGCAGGCTCCACAAGGGTGTAGAGCCTGCTCTACAAGGGGTAGAGCCGGCTCCACATGAAGTGGAGGTGGCTCCACTAAGGGGGGAGCCGGCTCCAATGTTCTGGAGGCGGCTCCAACCTCTTCTCTCTTTAGTTTTTCGCGTTCTGGGTCTTGAATTGGACAGTAAGGGTTGGTTTAAGAGTTTTTAGTTGTTATGTATGATGTATACATCTGTTACAGACTGGTACAGACTACTAGGAAGCATACTCTTTATTAAATCTTGGAAGTTGAATCAATATAAGCTAAAATAATAAGCTTGTACGGGGAAGGTTGAACATTCAGTTTAAATTATTTACTGAAGATGGTTGGTTTGTGTTTACATGGTTTAATTCTATTAATCATGTGGTAGTACTGTAATGAGCATAAGTTATTGTTTGAAATATTTATGTTTTAATTGGAGCATTTGATGTTATAACTTATATAAACTATATCAATACATGAACTGACTGGAGGAGTTGAATGCTGTATTTTACTCTAATAATTTAAAGGTCTGAAATTTGATTTCTAGATCATATACTGGATCTATAAATTAATCATACATTTATTAGATTTATATGTATGTTTAGTTTGGAGTATAGTTGATATGCATTTATCACTGTTTTTGTCAACTGTGTTAATTGGAGGATTGTATGTACTGGTATGGGACGGTGACGTACTAGGTATGGACTAGTTCAAACACTAAATCCTACTTAATTTGGATTAAGGTATGGATTAATCACGGGTTAAGTCCATTACCTACATGTGTCATATCAATTGTGAATTGAATGACCTACTATGGTTTTAGGATGGATTTGTTATACAGATGTCAGACCACTACACAGATGGATGGTATACTGTATTAGGAGGAGTACGGACTTTACATATATATTATATGGTGCCGTGGTATGAGCTTGAGTCTCATGACCATGGTTAGGGCGCGTATATCGCCTAGGATGGATAACTGGACATAGGTGTTGTTCCCTGGTAGGTCTAGGTACTCATGCCCACCTCCGAGTGCGTATTTGCATGTTGCCTTCTATTCAGGCTGAGACAGACCTACTAGACTAGCGAGCGTCCTATAGTGTGTACTATATATACATATATGGACTATTCTAGATATTGTTGAGTCTTTCTAGGAATGTATCTGCGTATCAGATTACTGTTTGGATCGTAGTAGAATAGGACTTGCATGTGGGCCTAACCAACTCTTTTATTTTTCAAGTGTTCGTCAGTTCCATGGTTAGAGCTTGGACGTGCAGAGCAGATACAGACACTCATTCCTCCGATTACGTAGGAATCTTTGCTATATTTACCTTTAGTTTCTATTTTAGATGTTTTAGTTTCTTTTGGGATTTTTAATAAGGGTCCACTGGATGGATTCCCGAGTTGTTACTTATGGAGTTTGGAGTTTGGATTTATCGGATTGCAATAATTATATTTATCGGATTTCAATAATTATATTTTGAGGATTTCAGTTAGTATTCTTCCAGCTTATTGTTATTATTTATTTCATCTTGTATTCTGTGTTCGGTTACATATTAATTATTTGATATTTCCCTCGGGTTTGGGCCTGGGCCTGATCAACCCGTGTCTCGGATCCGAGGGATATCACACAATGTTTCACTGATAAAATGAATGACAAGTTGCAAATAAAATTTGAACATATAAGACACTTTATGCTGTCCAAAACAAAAAAAAAAAAATTATTTAATAATAAAATGAAACTCGTATTAAACAAATTACACACTTTATGCTGTACAAAAGATTTTTCAACACTTACCAATCTTCATGGCAAGTAGCTGCAACATAACTTAACATTTTGGTCTGGTCTTTTTTTAGCCGAATATTTTTACCATCTTGAATGGTCCAAGGAGAGAAGGAATATGGTCCGGGCTTTAATATCCTAGTGCCTCTTCCACACTTTTTAATATTTTCAGCAACTTCAAAGTCTGATACTGCAACTGGAAAATGGGATGGTGTAGCACTTCGCTCAAATTCTATGTTGGGAGGGGATTCAGTTACTCTTTTATATACGGGAAATGTCACAGCAGGGATTGTCATGACTGATACCTAAGTTATGATTTGAGTAACGATAGGAATTTGTATGAAAAAAAGTAGGTTTGAATAAAAAAACCTTCTATTCTCAGTCAAATTACTAAAAAACTAATGGTCTACTGTGTCTTCTGCTGATTCTAATAGGTTAAAAAATCTTATAATGAGAAGTACCTAGTCGAAAATATCCAAAATAAATTGTTAGTATGTTGAAGACCTATCATGATCATAGGATTTTGACAGAAGGTTTCGTTATTATATAATGTCATTACTCTTTTCTATTTTCTGCTATAATTTAAAAATTGGACTGATATAAATTATTTTTTAAGTTACCACAGCTAATATATAATAATAATCACAATTCAAGCTTAAATATACAATAATAATAACATAATAGGTAATAAAGAACTAAATCAAAACAAATAAAAAAGTAACGATCTTACAGGAACACTGGTGGAAACAACATCGTTCTAAACGGCCTCTTGATCCATAATTAATCTCTCTTCCTTGCTGAGCATATCGACTCCATACATCATCTAAAATAGCCCACTGATGGGTATATCTCATGTGTCGTCATCATTTAGAGGTACATGTTGTTGCTCACCAATTGTCTCCATCTCCTCCGGAACAATTTGTTCCCCTTCACATGTGTAAATGGGGGAGACAATGTTTTCCTTCATGCATGTATCTTCATTATTTAGAGGTGCATCTTGTTGCTCACTAATTCTGTCCTTCTCCTCCCGAACCAATTGTTCCCCTTCACACGTGTCAATGGGGGAGGCAATGTTTTCCTTCGTGCATGTCTCTTCAACATTTAGAGCTGCATCTTGTTCATCACCAATTGTGTCCATCTTCTCCCCAACGAATTGTTCCCCCTCACATGTGTAAATGGGGGAAGCAATATTTTCATTCATGTATGTCTCTTTTTCATAGTCGGACGCGTCTTCCCCCTCAGCTAAACCTTCCACATCCCGATCAGCTATGCCCTCCCCATTCTTCTTACCAAACACTCTTGCTCGTTTCTGTGTACGACGCTGCCTCAACAAAGACTCTAGTCTGTGAAGCTTCTTTTTCAATTTCTTTGCATTCTGCATTATTTCCACCTGAAGATCTTTGATGTAATGCTGCATAAAGAGATAATTATATTAATTTTAAATTGCCAACAAAATGTATTAATAGTGCGTTAACATAATTGAATGTATTTTTACCTCCAACACGGTGTCCGAACAACTATCATTGCAAGACTCAGACTGAGAGGGGGATAACCGATGTCGAGATGGGCTAACATTAGCATTCCCGCAATATGGTCTCGCCTGAATTGTGACTAACTTTTTGTATGTTATTAAAACAAATAAGTCAATCTTCAATCATTCCCAAATGTCATTGTCATATATTGAACTGCATATTGTACAATTAAATATATATAATACAAATTGTAGGTACGTGCAAATAAATTAATTTTATTAATACTTGACCGTATCCAAAACCTCCCATCTCATGCTCCCATCTTAATCATTCACAGATAAGCTTTGTGTCCCAAAATCCAAGGCTTTGGGTATCAACATTTTCATAATATGGGTATTGCACTTCACATCTCATTAAATAAAGAAGTTGAATTTCATTTAACAAAACATATGAGACATGATTAATATTAGTAAATAACATCACTTATAAAATGATCTAACTAGTGTAAACATATCTATTAATTTATACCTGCAAGAAAATCACGCATCAATGTACATTTGCTTCCCATCCCCATCTTCAGTAGTTTTTAACGATTTCACCAAACAATTATGCACATAGGTGCACCAATTGTAAGATGTAATTGCATTCACATCGTCAACAGCTTTCCACAAGCCTACGTGTGCATGATATCATCCATTTGGAGACGGTACAGCTGCACAAACAAATAGTACAAATGCTCTCTTGAAATCTTTGCCAGCCTCCAAATTCTTTACCCTATCCATCAATTGGTCCACATGCATTTCTTTATCATTGCGATACCCACCTTCGTCTACCCAATCAGAATCAATATTTTTACAAATAGGCACTGGGATAATGCCAGCAGGTATGCCAAGAATGGACTGGACATCAATTGCATTAATGGGCAGATACACATTCTCCTCTTGAAGTCTAATCCGACATTTTTGCCCATCAAAACTTTCTACGAAGTAATTGAAGAGTTTAGTTGACAAAAATGAACATTTCAGGTTAAGCATATTGCCAAAACCAATATCCTCAACATTTTTCCTCTTTTCCTCGTTCAAATTGGATACTACTTCAATGAATTCCGACAAAGTGCATCTATGCCACCCATCTTTTAATTTGAACTCTTCATTCTAAATCAAAAAATTAATTATTATTAAGAATCAGATATTATATGTTTTCAAACAAAATCACATATCATATAAAATATTACCTTATTTTTTTGAATTATTTTCTTTCCCGTCTTCTTACCCATTACAACCCTAAAAGATATGGTTTTTCAATTTGTAATAAGGTAAAGTAAGATTAAATTTATTTTTGATGGATTGAAATTAGTCAATAGTGTCCTGCCTAAAACATTTTTCAATTACTCCAATCCTGAAACACAATGCAAAGCAAAGAAGAAATAAGTTAAGCAGCAAGAATAGATTGCAAACAGTGGAATATTACAGTAGAAGTATCCTATAATTTTATAATTTTATATACATAATTTAAAACTTAATAACTGTGTCATTATTGTAGGAATTCATAAATACAATTAAAGATATGAGTGTGTGCATAAAATGTAAACATTGAATTCTGGTCTCCTACATCGAAATTGAAAGTAAAAGTAAGGGCGGACTACAAATGCACTCTCACAACTCACTAATTACCTTTTTAAAGAATGATATCACATAAATTCGCATTAATAATTACCTTTACATAAAGCTTGCATTTGACTTCATGTACTACCTTAATACCCTCCTCTTCAGTATTTTTTTTATAGATGGGCTGGTAGGTCGTTCCCCATCATCTTCTGATAATCCAAGAGAATATAAGTAAAAGAAAAATAAATACACAAGTAAACAACAGTCGCCTATTGCAGACAATATTTTCTTATCATTTAAATATTTTGCCTAAGTTTTCTAAAGTAGATCAAATCTGAATAAGTTCTCAAAACATTGCGGCTTTCAGAATTCTATGAATGTAAGGACAAAGGAATAGTCTTATAAATGTGAGGAAAAAGGAATACTCTTCTAAAATGTGAGGAAAAATGAATGGTCATTTCACTAAAGTGAAGTAAACTTTTAGTGGTGTACATGCCACGAACTAGCATGGAGTACCACCATAAGTTTCATATTAAACTAAAAGTTACAATCAAGATCTACAAATAGGCAACAAACTAACAACCAAGGTCCAAGAGGTTACCACCCTAACAACATAGTAATTCAACAACAAATAAATAAATAAATAGACCAACGACCACCATTAGGTCCAGGAAAAGATTTTTCAACCTCATGTTCTGTTAAGACAAGCAAGTTTCCTGCTATATGTTTTTTTTTTTTTTTTTTTTTTTTCATTTCATTGAATAATTTATAGTAATTTCTAGACAAAACAATTTAGAAGTTAGTTTCTACATTAGTTCCTTTTTTTATTTTTTTTACCCCTTAATTCTAAGAGATTCCCAAACTTGAATCATTCACAAGGAGGCTTGTGCGCTACAATTAAGACTAGTAAGTTCAAAAACTACTTTCACTTGTTAATGGAATCCAACTACTTAGGTTTAGTGGTATATACTTATGATGTATATTAGGTTTAATAGGGTCAGACCATTTTTTTGTCCAATTAATAAATGCATAACAAATAAGGTAATTAACAGTAGAAATATATTGATGCTGCAGAAATCAAAACGAAAAGCCAAGAATTATGAAAGTGCAATATTACTTCACTTGTAGAAGAGAACATCATCTGAGAAAAAGTTTTTTATGTGCGTTTAATCAGACCACAAAATGTCTTTTACTAACGGATCTTGCAAAAAAACACAGCAAATACGATAAACATAAATATAAATATATATATATATATATATATATATATATATATATATATATATATATAAGACTAGTAAGTTCAAACACTACTTTCACTTGTTAATGGAATTCAACTACTTAGGTTTAGTGGGACCGAAATCCTCTCCGGCGCAACAGGACATATGTCCTAACCGGTGAGTAAATTAGAAAAGTAAAAATACACGAGGTAAAAAATTAGAAAGGAAAACTTTTGTATATACACACATATATACGGGACCAAATTAAAATCAGACCAACTTCTTGCTTTTTTTTCTCTTTCTCTCTACAATCTCTTTCTACACAAACATTTCCCTAATCTACAACTTCTTGTATATCACAACATTAATATAACAGATGGTTTACCCGCAACTTCTTGTATGTGGTAGATGCAACATATCATTTGCATCTACAACATACCATCTTGTATCCCAACTTTCAGCTTACCAACATCCCACTTATCGTACAAATACTTAAACATATCTTGGTACAAATTGTACATCACAACATTTTCCTACCTTACATCCTAACTTTCCCCTTATCAACATCCTAACTTTTTACTTACCAATATTACACTATTCATCTTTTTATCTTATTTGGGATGTAGGTTAGAAAATTGTTGAGATGCTAGTAAAGAGAAAGTTGGGATGTATATTAAGAAAATATTGTGATGCGACCAACGTCCAAACATTTTTCTAACATGTATCCCAAACAAGAGAAAGAGATTGTTGGGATATTGTTAAGGAAAAGATTGGAATGTTGTTAAGGAGAACATTGGGATGTATAGTGAATATTGGTACAAACTGATATATATACATCCATACATGTTTATGTATATATATATATGTGTGTGTGTGTGTGTATGTAAAAAAGGTTTTGTCATGCTCTGATGAAGCTATCAAATTTCAGAACCGTGGAGATCATCTTCCTACCAATCAATTACAAAACCATAGTTATCTAGCTATCCAATTTGAGATCCGTGGAGATCTTCTTCCCATCAATCAATAGCAAAACCAGAGATATAATACTAACAATAAATGATTTAAACACATATACCCCGAATTAATCGACACCAAACCAGAGATTTTGATAAGATAATGCTAAGAATTTAGAGTTTTGAGAGGTAAGGAAAAAAAAAAGCGTCGTCTACTAAAATTTGGTATTTTGTATAAAGTACTGTATTTGCAGGATGTAGTAACAAATTTTAACCCATTCCCACTTATGCGACGTGGCACTACTAGGACCATACAACACTCACTGGCTAGGACATATGTCCTGTTGCGCAGGAGAGGATTTTTATCCGGTTTAGTAGGGTCAGACACTTTTTTTGTCCAATTAATAAACGCAGAACAAATAAGGTAATTAACAGTATAAATAAATGGATGCTTCAGTAATCAAAACGAAAAGCCAAGAATGATGAAAGTGCAATACTGCTTCACTTGTAGAAGATAATTAATAGTAGAAAGACAAATTACACCTAAATGACACAGCAAATACGATGAACATAAATAAATAAATATATATATATATATATATATATATATAACTAAAAGGTATTTCAAACGAAAAAGACAGCTGGGACACCCAAATGACTCACACGGCACACATCAATTTTGGTCCCACAACACACACTAGAACTGAGTTGGGATGTGGTAATCTTAGAGATGGGGATTATCCACATTGACATATTGGGACGTTTACTTCATAGAGTTTTTGGGATTATTCAATTCAAATTTGTTTTTCCCTTTTTGGCAATGTATAATTATATATATTAGATTTTATTTTAAGAGATACATGTATCAATATTCATATGTTGAAATGGAATCCAACTACCTTGTAGAAGACAATTAACAGTAGAAAGACAAATTACACCTAAATGACACAGCAAATACGATGAACATAAATATATATATATATATATATATATATATATATATAAAACTAAAAGGCATTTCAAACGAAAAAGACAGCTGGGACACCCAAATGACTCACACGGCACACATCAATTTTGGTCCCACAACACACACTAGAACTGAGTTGGGATGTGGTAATCTTAGAGATGGGGATTATCCACACTGACATATTGGGACGTTTACTTCATACAGTTTTTGGGATTATTCAATTCAAATTTGTTTTTCCTTTTTTTGCATTATATAATTATAAATATTAGATTTTATTTTAAGAGATACATGTATCAATATTCATATGTTGAAATGGAATCCAACTACCTTGTAGAAGATAATTAACAGTAGAAAGACAAATTATACGTAAATGATACAGCAAATACGATGAACATAAATACACACACACACACACACATATATATATATAAAACTAAAAGGCATTTCAAACGAAAAAGACAGCTGGGACACCCAAATGACTCACACGGCACACATCAATTTTGGCCCCACAGCACACGCTAGAACTGAGTTGAGATGTGGTAATCTTAGAGATGGGGATTATCCACACTGACATATTGGGACGTTTACTTCATACAGTTTTTGGGATTATTCAATTCAAATTTGTTTTTCCCTTTTTTGCATTGTATAATTATAAATATTAGATTTTATTTTAAGAGATACATGTATCAATATTCATATGTTGAAATGGAATCCAACTACCTTGTAGAAGATAATTAACAGTAGAAAGACAAATTATACGTAAATGATACAGCAAATACGATGAACATAAATACACACACACACACATATATATATATATAAAACTAAAAGGCATTTCAAACGAAAAAGACAGCTGGGACACCCAAATGACTCACACGGCACACATCAATTTTGGCCCCACAGCACACGCTAGAACTGAGTTGAGATGTGGTAATCTTAGAGATGGGGATTATCCACACTGACATATTGGGACGTTTACTTCATACAGTTTTTGGGATTATTCAATTCAAATTTGTTTTTCCCTTTTTTGCATTGTATAATTATAAATATTAGATTTTATTTTAAGAGATACATGTATCAATATTCATATGTTGAAATGGAATCCAACTACTTGAAAGTGATATATACTTACTTATGATGTATATTAGGTTTAGTTGGGTCAGACCCTTTTTTTGTCCAATTAATAAATGCAGAACAAATAACAGTCGAAAGAAGAAATTGATGCTTCAGAAATCAAAAGGAAAAGCCAAGAATGATGAAAGTGCAATATTGCTTCACTTGTAGAAGAGAACAGCATCTGAGAGATCTGAGAAACAGTTTTTTATGTGCGTTCAAACAGACCACAAAATGTCTTTTACTAACAGATCTTGCATAAAAACACATTAAAGATGATAAACATAAATATATATATATATGGCATTTCAAACGAAAAAGACAAATTACACCCAAATGACTCACACGGCACACAACAATTTTGGTCCCACGATTTGATTTTGGTCCCCTACAACACACACTCTCATTTTCTGATTACACTTATAAATATTGGAGTGCTTTGAACATCCCATAACCTTTACACCTTGGATCTCCATAATTTTCTTCATCCTTTCCTTATCTCTGCAACTCGACTTTTCAATTATTTCTCTCTCTCTCCCCTCCATCTCTTTCTGTTCACTTTTTCTCTCTTTCTAAATTAGATTTTGGGTTTCGTAGAAATATCTATTCGAATTAGGGTTTCTGATTGGAGATTTTGGGGATTGGAGAGCTAATTTGAGAGGGTTTTGATCTTTTTCTTTGCTGGTTTCATACGGCTTCAAGATTGGGAACAAAATACAACATATTCAAGCTTACCCTCTCTCTGTAAACGAAACCCTAACACCACTCACAATACAAATTTTGATACAAATCATACCTTCTGGGTTTCATACGGCTTCAAGATTGGAAACAAATTCCTCACGATCGAAGGACTCTTCAATTCATCCACCTTCAGTCGCTTCAAAATCGGACTTTTCTTCTTCATTTCAGACACCACCTTCAGTCGCTTCAAAAATCGTCTCAATATCTGAAGACGAGAACAACGAACAAATACAAATAGTGCACTTTGTCTGTGTATGTATGGCTTGTAATACGTATCTAACAGATTTGTCTGGTATATATACTTATAATACGTATTTGGTAAAAAACGATTTACCCAGTTTTTATCCTCTTATTAGTAAGTGACGTGGCACAATCTCCACCGCACATCGCTCACCGGCTGCAACAGATTTGCTGTTGCGCCGGAGACGATTTTGATCCTTGGTGGAGATAACAGCCAGTCGTGGAAAATGAGAAAGAGAGAGATATTTGTGATTTGGTAGGTCCCATTAGTTGAATTTTTGGCCAAAATTCTTGGTAAGCACATGGTTGAATTGATTAATGTTTTTTTTAGGTGATATGTATCTATATATATATATATATATATATATATATATATATATATATATATATATATATATATATGGTTGAATTGATTAGTGTTCTTATTGGTGATATATATTATATATATATATATAGAGAGAGAGAGAGACTAAGAGAGAGGATGAATATGAAGATAAGGAAGGAAAAGTATGGCATGGGTAATGATGAATGATGTAGTGCGGGTCCCACTAAAGTGACTTTGTGGCCCAAAAAGTTTTTGGCCTGGCTATTTTCTTCACGCAGCCATGTTTTTCTTTGGTGGCTATTGCTGTTGACCTTGTGTATAGTATTCTTATTTTGTATTTATTTGAGGAATTGATGTTGTATTAATAAAAAAATAATATTATTTTTATGATTTTGAGTGTATGATGAAGTATTTTAAAGTATTAGAATTTAAATAAATCAAAAGTTTTATTTAAAATTCTCGAATCTTTACAATTATTTTTTTTTGATAACATTATCATTTTAACATTCTTACATTAAATTTATAAAAAACAAATCATCACATCACTATAAATTTATTATGAATAAATTTAATAATTTATATACTAACAATATAATAAAAAAATACTAAAAATCATCTTCTTATAAAATTAGATTAGAGGAAGTAATAAGTAATAGCTAGAAGTGTTTTAATACTAAAAAGAAAAAGAATCCTACTTATGCAATATCAACAAATAGATAATAACAAACATAATAAACTAATGTAAGATTGAAACCATGAACACGCACAATGTTGCATTAATGAAGACATAGTGTTGCTTGATCAATTCAGTGGGATGTAAATCCCAAAATAATAATAAAAAATGAATTAAATAAAGAAAACCTAGATGTATCCTAAATATATAAAAGGCCATGGTTTTGAGCACAGGAAGGAAGGGTTGCATAGGATTCCCTCTAGCGGATTAGGTACGAACCAATTCCAGTGAGATTTCACAACAAACAATCAAAGTTAGATGATGGTTGTGTGGTTGAGATAATGGTTAAAGCAAACCCAGTGCAGGCACTCTTCCCATTTTACACTTTATATAAAACGTATATAGTCACGTCAACAACTTTGTATAAAGTATATAATCACATCAACAATTGATTATGTATTTATTTTAGAGATTTCAAGTTCTTATTGTACACTCATTTTTTCATTTTACACTTTATTATATTATTATTTTTTAAAAAATAAAATAATTTTTTTTTTCAACAATTTTATTCTCAATAATTACAATACTAACTACTATAATTGTTTGCTCCAATTATATATTTAGATACAAGATTTAAAAATTAAAAAACAATAATATTACACACACACACACACATATATATATATATATATATATATATATATATGTAAGTACATTACACAGCTTCCTACAAATAAAATAAAACAATACAACTCAGAAAAAAAAATACATTAATACTTTTACAAATAAAATAAAAAAATATGGTAAACATACCATTAATTGTCCTTTTTTTGGCATAACGCTCCATAAATAAAAAAATTAAATTGATAAATCAAAAAGTACAATTACATTTACAAAAATAATTAATTAAATTCTTATGCAAATTAAATAACTCTTTTTATTTATTTAAAAAATATAACTCTTTTTTAATTAATTAAATTAAGACTCTTTTACATTAATTATTTAATACAATACACATAGAAAAACATACACAATACTATCAGGCAATATCATTTTTATTCTACACACCATCATTTTTACATATTATATTATTATTTAGGCACAAAGCTGTGCTTTGTCAAGCGTTACTCAAGCCTCCAAAAGTGTAGTATGGAGTGTACAATATGCAATTGGCCCCGCAAGTGTGTGAGCTGCAGAACAAGCAATTTGCTTCTACATAATCATAGATGTTGTACAAACTGAGCTTGCGCTGGGGTTGCTTTTAAGATTTATGTAAAAGGAAACCAACAAGCTTTTGCTTTGTTTTGTATTTCTTTACTCTAAATTTATAAGATTACAGTACATAAAAACAACACATATAAGTCCGCTTAAATCCATTGCAGTGTAGTGCAGTGGTATTGGCTTGCTTGCTCAAACCAACCTAAGACAAACACAAAGCTAGCTAAATAATAATAAATCGGTAATGGCCGAAGAAAGAAAATCAGAGTTTCAGGAGATGTTTGAGCTTCTTCAGAGAGATATAGATGAAAACAGATCAAGTAACACACAGTCTCCGCCCATGGCTGGTGAATTGCCTAGGACAATGAGATTGAATTGGGTCGATGGCATGTATAAGGTCCCGGATGTGCTTCATGTACAAAATGAGGACGTCTATCGTCCATGTAATGACCCGGTCATTTACCTCCCTTTCCTTTTTCTGAAATTTTACGGATAATTTTTTTCCGTTTAATTTTCCTTTCTGAGTCTTGTTTCTCGCCGTTTAGTGTCATCTCGAGTGCTTGGAAATGGTTTCTGAGACTCTTTCGTTTAGATTGACAACTTTCTTTAAGGACCGAGTCATTTCCATATTTTCACTTTTCGGATACTATTCACTTTTTGTCCTTTTCCCTATTTCGTCTTTTTCCCTATTCTGTCTTTTCTCCGTTTGTTAGGCATAACCTCACTTTTCGTGCTCGGAGTTGGTTTTTGACTTCACGTGTCTTTACTTTTGCAAGAAAGTACTCTAGTTGATCCCGGTGTCTATAGGGGCATGAATGCACAATTCTTCAGAATCTTTTTCTTTTCTTGGGGTATTTTTCATAAATATCTTTTGAAGATATTTTATTTCAGGGGCATCTAAGAAAATATCTTCTGGAAGATATTTTCATTCTGGGGCAGTTTCATAGTTAACCCTTTTTATAGGGGCTATTATGCAATTAACGAAAGTTATTGCAAAAATACCTCGTCTGGAGCCTGGATCCTCATACGAGATTCATTTTCACATTTCATCAAGTCATGTACTCTAAGAATTCCATTTTGATCATTTTTCTCCAGTTTCAGAGTTTTTGGATCCGGTTGCCGCCGAACTTGTTTGGGGTTTATCTCTCTACTCGGGACTCAGTTTTCAATGCCGTTTCTTCCATTATTCATATTTTCTCATTTTGAATCTTTTTTGTTCATGGAGTTTTGCCGTTTGAGTGCGTTTACTCAAATTCCACTTTTTCGGACCCGGCGGGGCCCTTTCTGGACACTTTTTGAGATTTTCTATAAATAGGAGGTTATAAAATTAAAAAGCTATCTTCTCCTCTCTTCAAGCACGACCAGAAGCATCCATGGCTGCCTAAGGGGGCTGCCACCCTTCTTCTCTCAAGTAAACCTCATTCCCTTTGTTAAAAAGTCATAGTGCCTTCACGTTTTGTGCTTGTCTTGACGCCGCGCACCTTTTCCCCTTATTAGAATCCATTTCTGACCATTTCTTGAGTTTGGGTTCATAGTCAAGTTGTGATTTTCATGGTCTTCCTTGGGATTCTTGTTCATCGTGTTGTCTCCAACAAAACCCTTCGGTATCGTCGGATTCGGAGCACTTTTCTTTTAGTGGGCTTTTGAGATTTTCATCTCAAATCGTGGTAGGGGGTGTTATAATTTATTTTCTTGTTATATTGCATGCTTGTGATGCATATACAACTTGTTTACATGCTAGGATATTAAATCTAGAACTTTCGATTATTTATTTTCTAGTATGAGATTTGATTTTCCCAGTTGCTCATAGCTTTGTTTAAACATGTGGCATGATAGAATATTATCCCTTGATATATTGATTGACATATATTAAATCTAGATCATTTAGACAAGTAACGAAGATTTTATTTAATATTTATCTTGAATAAAATATTAAATCATGTGGCCTTAACTAGCTTGAAATCAATGTGTGTTAGCATATTATATTAGCTCCTAGCATGCTCTTCAACATAGGTGAATTTGAGAGTAATCGGAGGTGTTTTAAAATCTAGAGAATATTTAATTAATTGATTAATTAATTTATTCTATGCGTACTTTTCACTCCGTATGAATTCTGACTTGATATTCTTGATATGTATGACATATAGTTTCACATATATTAAATCTAGAATATTTGATTAAGTTTTGAAACTTCTCATTTATTATTTTTTCTAGTATTAAAGTTTAATACTCATGGCCGTGTGTTGCTTAGAATTCACTTGTATCATGTTTTTGAATAAAGTCTTGACATGTTGTATAACATACATAAATTTGAGATCATTTAGATGAATTTCAAAACCTAGAGCTTTTAATTAAATGAAATAATTAAAATCCATTCAATAGCTTCTTGGTCTTGATTAAGTTTCTAACTTAGTAATCATGCTTTCCTTGACAAGTTCCCTCACGTGTATCAATTTGAGAATAATCGAATAAGTTTTGAAACTTATATTTATTTATTTCCTTTGTATGGAATTAAATTCACATGGTCGTGTCTTGTATGAAATGAACTTGTAACTTAACTTGACTCTTGACTTGCCTTGTAATCTTGACAATTTAATCCCTTAAGTAGATTAAATTACCTTATATGCTTCCATCGCGTTAATCATGCTTTGATATTGAACTCGTGTTAAACTCATGAATTGGACTTGTATTTCATGTACTTTCATCTTTTATCAAGCATCGTGACTCCTTGTATCTAGGTTTCATTAAT